ACTTAGAACGTTAGCATAAGAATTACCTTTTATTATTGATATTGCAATAAACAATTCTCATTCATATTCTATTGGTGAGATGGATGTAAATTCCACTCAAACAACTTCTTCTCATAAACCACTTTGTGGCACTGACTCCCAAGAAGATGTTTCCCTGATCACTACAATCATAACCTGTTAAAATCTTGGATTAACCATTATTTTCCCCATAAACTCTGCCTCTTATCTCTTACTCTGTGATTCTCTACTTCAAGTGGTTCTTGATGAACATTATTGTAAAAAAGTGGGGAGGAATGAGAGTAAAAGGATTAAACAGCACTAGTCTTCTAGTGGAGGACCTGTCTGCCTAGAAAATCAGCATTTGAAATCCTGGCTGTCTAGTAGGAAATATACAGGGGGTCCATAATGTCTCTTTACAATTAAAAAATATATTACAAAAGCAATTGATGAGATATCTTAATCAGATTTGTTCTATGTACTTAGTAGTTATCAAAGTTTTTAATCACATTGCATTTGTGTATTTCAGGGATCCTGTGGATGAAAGAAGTGCTGTTAAATGAACCCCTAACATTTCCAGGCCAGTGATTTGGAAGGGATGGCTCAATTCCTTGGCCACATGTTAAGGATATGGGGTTATTTTAAGGATGTTGTGTATTGAACAAAGATACAGGACATCACTGATCTAAAGCAAAAGATCACTGATGCCATTGCCACCATTAATGAGGCTATGCTACAGTGAACATGGCAAGAAATCGAGTATCGTCTTGATGTACTTTGTCCAACTAAAAGTGCACATATAGAGGTGAATTAAATTAGATAATAAAATATCTACATATCTACTCCTTATTTTGTAACAATTTTCACATATTTGTCTGTGTATTTGCTTTTGTAATATTTTTTTTTAAATTGTAACGTGACTTTATGGCTGCCTTGCATATCTGCTATTCATTATTGTCTGAAGAAAAGAAGACTATTCTGCTGGAAAAGACGTCATGGTGGTCAGGTCATAAGTAATTTCTGTTTTTGGTAATCAACTTCAATGACAAATGTACTATAATCATCAACATGATAACTACTAAATACCCAAATGTCAACGGACGATATAACCAATATCACACAGCATGCACAAAACTTCTATCTACGTTCAGATTATTATCCTCATCTTTGTTGTTGTTGTTATCACCATGTTTCGGCTGTTGTGCTCTCCAGCCTTCATCAGGTAATCTACAGGGAATCCCTTTATTTCATCTACAGGGATAGACTGTTCTCATTTCACTGCCCTACTGGACAATAGCCTAGTGGATTAAGGTATTGTTTCATTAATTTGGTGACATAGTAATTGTGAGTTCAATCCCTGGGCTGGGCAATAACTGAGCTAGATATCTATATCTCTAGACATGGGCAGTGAAATGAAAACAGTTTACCACCATAGATGAAATGAAGGGTTCAGTTTGGAATTCCCTGTAGGTAACTTGTATCAATATACACCTGATGAAGGTTTAGGCTTATAATATTTAAGATCTGCTATATTGGCATAGAACACTTTCTTTATGTGTTGCTTGACAACTCCTTCAGGTGTTATTTTGTTATATATAATTATATATATATATATATGTGTGTGTGTGTGTGTGTGTGTGTGTGTGTTTAAAATGTGTGACAACTTTTTAAAAAAATTATTCTCTTTTCCACAAATGCCAAGTTTTATTAAAATCCAATAATTAGATAAATTTTGGATATTTTTTTTTTTTAATTTTCGTGTTTTTACGACCCCAAAAAAGACAATGATATTTTATGGTGACAGTGTTTACACAAAGTAAACAATATTTTTAAATGTAAATATCTTCAATTCTGCTTAAAATATAGAAATAATATCAGAATATCTTTTGATTTTTTTCTGTTTTCAATTAACAGAAAAAAATTGGGGATAAAATAAGTTTTATATATATATATATATATATATATATATATATATTCATGAGATTATTTATTTTACAATATTATATCAGTAACATGTCAAAATCGCTAAACAATTGCAGTCGTGTTTCCATGTGTATCAGTGCATCTCATCAGGCAATTGTAAATTACTGGCGAGTGAATGATTTATTTAGATTTAAAAGCAAAATACCTCTTTTTATGAAAAAATAAAATTTATGTAGGAAACTCACAAAGCATATAACTTGTTTAGCATTTGGTTAGATTAACACCTCCACCTCATTTTTTTTTCTTAGGAAATGAAATTGTCTGGTGTGTATAATATGTATCCATTAACACCCACTCCTGTTTAACATCTGTGCTGCCATTGAATGTCAATCTATGAGTCATGACCCATTTATAGAAAATAATTTCTGACTTTTTGCTTCTTCGCTTAATTTAAATTTAACATAGGTCATATTTGATTGGTTGATCTGATTATAGTCCACAGACCTTATAAACCCACTTTTCTTTCATAAAATGAGGTTGTATTTTGCTTTTAAATCTAAATAAATCATTTACTCGCCAGTAATTTACAGTTGCCTGATGTGATGCACTGATATGCATCGAAACGCAACTGAAAATGTGTAGTGATTTTGACATGTTTTTGATGCAATATCCTAAAATAAAGTATATTGTTCTACTTTGTATTGAGCCCTCTTTTAAATTAAATGTTACGGTCGTTAGAATTGTACTCTATTCGTTCTCATCTTACCTGGATATATTTCATGATATATATAAGTTTTATATATATTTCACAGTATCAGGTGTCAAATTTCACATACACACATAGGCTCCTATCAACATTAATAAAGAATGTAACAAATTTTTCAAATTATAAGCAGCATTTGCATGGCTTTGTGGGTGAGGAATTTCAGCCTTTAACCACTTCCTCATAGAAACTTTACTGGCCTTTTGCTATTTTCATGGTAGATGTTCAGGTTAACTAGATTCCTGCATTTCACCAGTACCCAGACTTTTACAGCTAAGACCCGCCATGCCACATACTCATCCACATTCTCTTCATATTCCATTGGTAAGGAGGAAGTTCCACTCAGAAAACATCTTCACCAGAACTGTTACATTGTAGAACAGTCTCCTGAGAGGATGCTTCCCCAATCACTACAAGTCTAGAGTTGATCATCATCTATCCTACGTCTCTTGCTCCCTCCTTGTAGGCTCTTATAAAGAAAAAAATATATACATAAATACATGTGGCTACAAGTATAACGTAAAAGAAAAAGCCCAGAAAAGGCACTGCAATCAGAGTGATTCTCATCTTCAGGCAGCCATCTTTTATTATTATTATTATTTTTAATATTAAAATTGTTAAAAATCAAATTATTTTATACTATTTACATTATTCAGACTATTGTTCTCATCTTTGTTGCCATATTTATCTCAACATTTCAGCTGTTGTACACTCCAGCCTTCTTCAGGTGGTTGGAATGTCGAACTGAAGAAGGCCGGAGCATACAACGGCCAAAATGTTGTGATAAATATGACAACAAACATGAGGACAATAGTCTGAATAATGTAAATAGTGTATATAATACCTCATATAGACAGATACTAAATTATTTTATTAATTATATCTAATATTAAAAATGATTAAAATTAATTATTTTTAATATGAAAAATTATGAAAAATTAAATTAATATTTTTTTTTTACAATGATGTTCACCCTATACAAGGTTTGGGAGCTACTCAAGGTAGATTTCAGGCAGATATGTCAGAAAGATAACTAGAAACCCTAGACTTGAACAGGTTAAAAATCTAGTGATTGGGGAAGCATACTTTTGGAAGTCAGTTTCACAAAGAATCGGTTCATGGGAAGAAGCTGCTTGTGTTGAACTTACATCTCACCAATGAAGTCCAAAGGAAATGAGGTTGGTTTGCTACAACCTGCATAGCATGGTGGATCTTAGCTGTGAAAGTTAGAACTAGTGGAACTAAAGAATGTAGTTTGAGAACTTTCCATGGAAATAACAAGAGAGCAGTGAGAGGTATACAACATTTCCTCTGTGAGAATAAGAGATTATAAGGTGGAAAATTATTCACCACCCACAAGGACATGGAGATACTTTAGGACTCAATAGATAAAGACTGGAAAGTGAAGATTGGGTAACACCTGCCCAAATATGGCAGCAGTACTCCGTTTTGACATGATCTGGTTCTTGTAAAGGTAGAAAGTTGCAGGAAGAATCCATTTTGACCTGATCTGGTAGAAAGGATCAGGAAGAATCCATTTTGACCTGATCTGGTAGAAAGGATCAGGAAGAATCCGTTTTGACCTGATCTGGTAGAAAGGATCAGGAAGAATCCGTTTTGACCTGATCTGGTAGAAAGGATCAGGAAGAATCCGTTTTGACCTGATCTGGTAGAAAGGATCAGGAAGAATCCGTTTTGACCTGATCTGGTAGAAAGGATCAGAAAGAATCCATTTTGACCTGATCTGGTAGAAAGGATCAGAAAGAATCCATTTTGACCTGATCTGGTAGAAAGGATCAGAAAGAATCCATTTTGACCTGATCTGAGGGAAAGGATCAGGAAGAATCCATTTTGACCTGATCTGGTAGAAAGGATCAGGAAGAATCCATTTTGACCTGATCTGGCTCTTGCAAAGGTAGAAAGTAGCAGGAAGACTCAAGAACTCACTGGAGTCATACAGAGAATCAACCATTTTTCCAACATCTTTTATTATTATTATTATCATTATTTTTTATTATTAAAAATCAAATTATTTTATTATTATTTTTTTTAATATTAAAAATTAAATTATTTTTCTTTAATATTAAAAATTAATAAATTATTTTAATGATATTAATATTATCTTATTTTTAATATTATTGCAGTGAAGCAACTCTAACGTAGCAATAGCAACCTTGGTTCCCAATAAACATTTAATGATTACTCTGAAAGAGAGAGAAAGGCAGAGAGCAGAACGTAGAAGTGACAGCTGTGTTATTACCCTTTGTTATTATTACAATTACAAAGGAAATGATTTAATCAAAGGATGAGTTCTCACCGAATACTGTTCAGCACCATAGACATCCGCATTCACTTGGCACAGTTTCTTCTCTTCTGCATCTGTACGTCCTTTTAGACATTGTTTGTAGTGAATTTCTTTCATGCAACAAATCTCCACAATAACTCGGCAATTCTCTTCATCCTCTGGTTTAATGTTGGTCAAAGGTGCTATGTAACGTGAACATGTATTTTTTAAAGCACCATATTGACTACCCAAGGTACAACAAATGTCCCGAATATCCAGCAATGAACCTGAAGCAACAAAAATAAATCCATTATATTAATATATTCCTTACCTATGGTGTGTGCAACACTTCATAAAAGAAAAGAAAATGTTATCTTCACCTGTAGCAGATAGCCCAACAAACATGACTTAAGAATTATAATCATTGAACATTTTTTTTATACAAGTGGCCAAAACTGCTGGAAGATGGGTGTTTGTTATTTTATCAAGTCACCATTTTTTTAATCACATCACCTTCTCTAGAAATGACAATCAAGATGGTAGTTTCCATTTGCCCATTACTGGCACACTTGTTTTGAATGTAGAGGTTTTTTTAATCTTTTTACCCCAAGCAAGGCGGGGATGCCACAAGTATGTAGGGAGTTACAGAGGGTGAAAGTAAAAGAAAAGAGTGAGTATAGGAAGGACTGAGGAAAGGACAAAAGATGAATGGGATTCAAGAAGATAGAAGATGGTGATTGACGTTGCATTTAAATTTTGTTAATCATTTCACCCCATGTAAGATGGGAATGCCACTAGTACACAGGGGTTTACAGGAAGTGAAAGCGAGAGAAAAGACTGAGTATAGGGAGGATTGAGGAAAGGACAAAAGATGAACGGGATCCAAGAAGACAGAAGATGGTGATTGACTATGCATTTAAATTTTTTGGAGATTGTATTTACCACAGGTGCAAATTATGAGAAAGGAAACTATTGGAATAGAAGTAGCATTTAACCATTTCAACAGTAAGAGGGTGGGACTTAGATATCAATCTAGTAGCATGCTTAAATTCATATCATTTTGGTACCAGGAAAAAAAGCTTATCAGAGATGTTGTCATGAAAATATTTGTAGAAAAGACAGAGAGAAGCCACACCACATTAGTGAGATAGTGACTGTTGTCAAGATGTCAAGTCAGAATCAATTACATTGCAGATCCTTCTTTGGATTTTGTGAAGAACCTCAAAAAGAGTAGCAAGTGCACCAAACTAGATATGGCAGTAGTATTCAATGCATGGATGAATGGTAGATTTATAAATGTGCAAAATGAACTCTGATAAGAAAAACCTTCTGGCATGACAAAGTAACTGAACTTTCCTTGCAGTAGCTGCAGCAATTGATTTGATGTAGTCATTCCACTTCAAGTCAGTTGAAAATGTAAGGCCAAGAAGGTGCATTGTGTGCCCTCCAGGAGTCTAGTATCAGCCATGCTGATGAAAGGCAGAAAAGTTTCTCTATAGTGGTTAAATGAGAGTAGTTTTGAAAGTATTAAAATTTCCAAGCCATTTCCTGCCCCAGTTAACCATTGATTGCTTTTCTTCTAGACTGTTTGCCAACCCAGGCTAGAGAGCTCCATCTGACATGATATTGACCCATAGTTGGATGGAGGAGAGATGGACCAATAGCTTTCCAATAGGACTTGAACAACAGTGAATGTAACAAACTTGGTCAGAAATCAAACTTGGCTCACCAATTTCTCTTTCCAAGATGCTATTATACTGCCTGCACATCTACAACACTCCCTACACTCCTCAAAAACACAGGATACCTTACATCTCATTGTATCTTGATTTATAAAAGAGCCTATATTAAATGAAGCACTAGATTTAGCTAAAGAACTTTTCTGAAGATAAAATGAAAATAATAAAACATTGTAGAAAATCAATATTATTGTATAATAAAAAATTATAGATAAAAACATGGTCAAAACTTTGATGTCACCATGGACAGTTGTGATGGAGTATTTTTATTAGGAATCTACATAATAACTAGTGATAATAATCAATAAAAAGATATTATATAGAGATGCTGGCCCATTAATTTTAAGAAATTGTACAGGTAGATTAATAGACATAACTAAAACAGAAACAATAACAATTCTAAAATAATTATGATTTAAAATTGATATATAAAAAAATAATAAAAAAGAAATAAACTTCTTAGATATAACATTTAACTTAACTAATGACATAGATAAAACATAAAGAAAAAAAAATAAACAAATATACCCCAATATGCATAAATAAATATTCCAAGCTCCCGCACTACCTTTTTCAAACAAATATCCATATCTGTAGACAATTAGCATTAAGAAAAAGTGGGTATAAAATAAACTAGAATACAAAAGGGAAAACAATCAAAAACAGTAGAGGGCAAAATATAATAACCCACCTTATAATAATGATAGAAAAACAAAACATGCAAAAAACTATTCAAGTTAATCAAAAACTATTTTACTAAAAATTGTAAATCAGCAAAAATTATTTATTAAAATATGTTACAGTTGTATGCAAAACAGAAAGAAATAATTTTGTAATAACAGAAAAAAAGGTATTATAAAAATACATATAATCATGTTTTTTGAAAGTAAAAGATATGCTAACAATACTACATTTTCTGAATATATATGGGAACAAAACAAAACAAATCACCACCAACATTAAATGAGAAATCTTAAAAAGACACCTTCTTGCAATGCTCAAACTGCAAAAACTGCTACCAACACTTTGAAGAAAAATTCCAAATAAGCAGTTTCAAAAATCAAAATAAATTGTTAAATGAAATGAATAGAAGTTTGAGGCAAATGCAGATATGTTAACAACTATTTTGTAATATAAAACTATATTTTTATATACATACATATATGTGCACATATGTATACCTGTGCATGTATATGCACATGTGTATGTGCACAAATGTATAAATACAGGCATATGCATATAAATTCAAACAATAATGAATAAAATTTAATTGTAAACTTAACCTCCTACAATTAATATTTAAGATACCTCCAAACCAAATAAGAAAATAATAATCAAGTGAAGACATAAAAGTATTTATTATTTAAGTATTAATATCTATTATTTACGTAAAAAACAAAATACAATTTTCCTAACTCAAAAGACTAGAATGATCAAAAATTAAAAATGATAATGTCTGAAGAAATAACCAGAAATAAATAGCTGCATAAAGCTGCAACTGAAAGAGAAGAGGAAAAGGAAAAAAAAAGAGAAAAATCTAAGGAGTCAGTGTAAAGTGAAGAAAAAAAAGAAAAAGACAAATAATCATGACACCTTACATGTACACACATCCACACAGACAGGTGCATGGCCATAGATGCACAAATGCACACATGAACACAAACAATATGGAAAGAACTTATACTAATAATGAATGCATAAAAAGAAAAGCCGATGATCCTTAAAAAAATACCCATATCAAACCTACATGATTACAAAATCAAACTCACAGAAAAAATAGAACATTTTATAAAATGCCTAAGAACACAGCAGTGATAATAAAAATAATATCAACAAATTTGGATTTACATCAATGAAATGTCTACCACAATGTAATGACTTCATTGCTTTTGAAAATGACTTAATGAAAAAAACAATAATTTGGAAATAAGAAAATTCAACAATAATTTCCCAAAAAGACTTGAAAGGATCTAAAAATGATAAACAACAGAAAAAAAAATATATAAGAGAAGATAAATCCAGGATAATCTATAAGATGGAAACCAACAATTACAATAAACTAGTTAACAAAGAAGTCACTAAATTTTACAAAACCACTAATAATGAAACAAAGTGATATAAACAAAGAAGCTGATAGCATAGCCACTAAACTAAAATTAGACAATAGAATAAAACAATTAGCAAAAGTAGAACCATTTATTAAATTAAAAGAACATAAGGACAATTTCACCACCAAATTAATATGAAGATTACTAAATCCCACAAAAATTGGGAAAATAAGCAAACAAATATGAGAAAAAATATGCTCAAACCTTAGAAACATACTAAACATAAACCAATGGAAAACACATCAATTGGTTTAATAACATTAGCAATAAAGAAACTGTTCCTTCACACAATTAGACATAAAAGACTTCTACTGATCTATTAATGAGAATACATTAAACAATGCACTAAACTTAGTAAGACAATACAAGACTATAAATAAAAATACCGGTTCCATCCCAGGACTTATCAAGTTATTTATTCGGGGAATTTAAAAGTGTGTAAATTAATTTTAATTAACGAATGTAATTAAATAGGGAGAGAAAAAAAAAAAAAATTATGAATTTCAAGGGACTAGAGTCCAATAATATGTGGAGTGGGTATTATTTTATCGAGGTCCCACTCTCATTTCACCTCAAGGTCCTGGAGTCCTTGTATATCAGATCTCATGAGCCTTCCCTTTGTAAACAGAGGGAATGCTTGCTGGGTCTGAATATTATTGGACTCTAGTCCCTTGAAATTCATAATTTTTTTTTTTTTTTCTCTCCCCATTAATTACATTCATTAATTAAATTAATTTACATGCTTTTAAATTCCCAGAATAAATAACTTGATAAGTCCTGGGATGAAACCGTAGTTTTATTTGGCTTTTGCTTTTAAAATGCCTTCTTATTATCTTTTCCTATCTATTATATATATATATATATATATATATATATATATATATATATATATATATATATATATATAAAATAATTTGCTAGAACTGTTCCTTACAATACATTGTGGAAACTTACAGAAATTAAAAAATATATCTATGAACACAAAAGGAACTTTATACACAGCACAATTTATCAAATGCGTTAATTATACATAAAAATAAATTCAACGACAACTTTATGTGTGGCCTTCTAAAGAATGCCACATATATTATAAAAGGAAGTAACTTACATAGAAGGAAAATTCTCATGAGTGCTGCTATGAAATCTTATCAAAATATAAATCTGTTCCCCAGTTTTTTTTCCAATATTTCATTTTCTGAAAGAATTACCACTTTCCCAAGATATATAGCTACAAAAATGTTAAAAAAAAATAAAAGAAAACGGTTAAATTCATAACCTCATGTTATGCAAAATATATAACACATAAATAAATCCCAAACTAAAATAATTTAAATACTAATTTGCATATAAAAAATTCCAAAACCTCACTTACTCAGGTTCATTTATTAGATATTGAATTCTGTTACTTCATCTTTGCTATAACTTGCCTGACATTTCAAC